GTTCCGAGGCTAGGTGTGGGCCCTGGGGATGGAGGTGCAGGTTAGAAGGACCCCTCCTCCAATTCCACCTCTGGCCCGTGTGTCCTCAGGAGCCCAAGTCCTCGGGGCAGCTCATGGCCGAGTGGGGCCTGGACGACGTGGACTATCTGTTCTCGGAGGCCGACTACCACACGCTGACCAACTACAAGGCCTTCAGCCAGTTCCTCAGGTGGGCCAGGGGCTGGCACCGTGGCTGTGCCTCTGCGGGTGGCCAGAGGGACCGAGCTCGGCTCGTGGCTGTCAGGCTGGCACTGACCATGCCGGGCAGAGCTGGCCGGAGGGCAGGGACCCCTTTCACTTTAGCACGTGGTCCTGCCTCCCTCGTTTGCCCTGCGCCTGGGAGTGGTGGCCCCAGCCAACCCCACGCCCCGCTCAGCTCCGGAAGACACCAGCGTCTGCTACAGGCCCCTCCCTCTGGCCCGGCAGGTCTTGCAGAGTCTGGAAACCCAACTAATTAGAGGCTCGCCAGTGACACAAGCAGAGATGCAGGGGTGCTGCGGGGGTGGAGGCTGCTGTCTCAAGCTTTGTTCTCCCTTTCTGCTGAGTTTTCCCAACCTGAAGCGTGGGGCTGCTGCACCTGCCCCAGGTGTAGGACAAGGGGTGCACCCTTTGGAGATCAAAAATGGTTTTACTTTTTTATTTAATTTTTATTTTTTATGCCTACGGCACCTGGTCTTTTTAGGTGGTCTCCCATCCAAGTACTAACCAGGCCTGACCCTGCTTAGCTTCCACAAAGGGGGTTTTAATCCCCTCTGCGGCACCGCCCTCACCCTCCTGCCTTTCCCCCTACACAGGCCACTCATTGCCAAGAAGAACCCGAAGATCCCCATGTCCAAAATGATGACCGTCCTGGGTGCCAAGTGGCGGGAGTTCAGCGCCAACAACCCCTTCAAGGGCAGCTCGGCGGCTGCAGCTGCAGCGGCAGTGGCTGCAGCCGTGGAGACGGTCACCATCGCCCCCCCGCTGGCCATTAGTCCCCAGCAGGCGCCCCAGCCTGTGCCCATCCGCAAGGCCAAGACCAAGGAGGGCAAGGGTAAGGCCGTGGGTGTGCAGGCACCTAGCCCTGCTGGCAGAGGCCCTCCCAGACCCTGTGGCCTCGGGCGGCTGTGGCAGCTGGGGCGGTCTCTATGGAGGAGCCCGTGCCTTAGTTGACCTTGCCCACCCTGCCTTTCTTGGCTGTCCTGCAGCGATGTTGTAGCTTCTGTCCTTCCCCGCTTTTGGGGCTGGGGGAGAAGCGGAGGAGATGCTGCCCAGAGCTTTAGGGGTTTTGCCCTTGTCCCCTCTGACTTGGAGAAGGGAGAGAGAGGGGAGACCTTGGCTGCTGGGATTCGGACTCTCTGGAGTTTGAGGCTGTGCCATTCCCAGGGAGAAGGGGTCCAAGGTTAGCCCGTGACCCCTCTTGCCTGAACACCGGGCCCCTGGGGTAACGGATGTGCCTGAGAATGGCTCTGGGAGGCTTGGAAGGAGGTACAGCTATGAAGTTGGACTCAGTGGTAGGTGTCTGGGTGGTGATGACAGGGACAGCAGAGGCTCTCTGTGACTTGGGGTCCCAGGGGAGGGATGTCTCCTGGGTGGAGGATTTGTGGCCCCATTGCAGGTGGGGACATTGATCTCCCCAAGGCTCTCAATGGTAGAGTCACCGGCAGCTCAGCCTTTCTCGGTACCCTGATTGGATTCGGATGGGGGGCCGAGGGGCCTCTGGGACCCCTTGTTTTGACCCCAGGAGACTTTGTTTTCTGGGATGATGCACCCCTTTGCCAGGTCCCCGCAGGGCCCGGGGTGGGTGGGGGGAGGCAGAGCGACATGGGGTAGAGCCGCTCAGCCTGCTTCCCTGGCGGGCCTCTGTCCAGGGTCCTGCCCTGCCTGCCTGGCTTTCTCGTTTCCTCTCTAGCTGCTGAGCTATTGATTCTGTGGGCTGCCTACTCAGAGCCTGAAAAATTGAAATAGATTTTCCGTGGTGGTGCCAAGGTTACAGCTGGGCCCCCAGCCCCTTCCTGCAAGTGATGTGGCTGGGGGAGGGCCCTGGGCATGGCCGCCTGCCTCCAGCCCCCATCTTCCCTGCTCAGCCCAGTGAGGAGGCTGCTGGGGGGTCATTACTCTTCAGGCAGCTAATTGTCAGTGACCTCCACCCTCCTGGCACTCGGGAGCCAGTGTTTCCCAGGGGGATTGGGGGGATGGTTTTGAGTGATGCCCACGTGGACTGGGCCTGGGGATAACCCGGACGGAGGCTGGTGGGAGAGGCAGCATGGCGGCCGGGGCAGAGCCTGGGTTTGGGTTATTCTGTCCCCCATCCACACTGTGCGACTGTCAGTAGGACTTCACCTCCCAGAGCCTCCATCATCCCAGCTGAGGGGCGGTGGCGGGAGCAACCCTGTGCTGGTCGGCTTAGCGTGGGGCTGAGCTGCTTGCGGCTGTAAGCGTTGTTTATTCCACGGTGACTTTTCAGGGCCTGGGGTCAGGAAGAAGATCAGAGGCTCCAAGGACGCCAAGAAGAAGGGCAAGGGCAGAAAGGTGGCCGGACTCAAGTTCCGCCTCGGAGGGGTCAGCGGCAAGAGGAAGAAGGGCTCCTCGGTGAGCGTGGGCGCGTGAGTGCGAGTGCGTGTGTGTGTGCGAGCGTGAGTGTGAGCATGGCCATGCGTGAGTGGGTGCGTGTGTGATTGTGCATATCTGTGAGCATGGGCATGTGTGAATGTGAGCACGTGTGTGTGAGGATGGGCGTGTATGTGCGAGCATGTGTGTGTGCGTGTGTGTGTGTGTGTGTCGCATGTGCATGCCATGCGAAGGCAGAGGTGGCCATGGAAAGAAACCAGGGCTGTCAGTTCGTTCTGAAGTCACCTGGGGGCAGGTCCTCCCTCTCTCCCATTCTCTCTTCCCATCCTACATGCGGGCCTGCTGGGCCTCAGTTTCCCAACCTGACTGATGAGGGGTTCAGACAGGGTCCCTCCCAGGGCCCCTGCAGCTTGGACTCTGGGTGTGGAGCCCACTCTGCTGAGCTGGGGGCTCAATCTCGGCTCTGGCAGTCACCAGCTGCCACTCCATCAGTGCAGGAGGTGGGAGGGTCAGCTGGCCCTTAGGAGTCCTGATGGGACCTGGATGCCCGTGTCTGCTGGGAGGCTGGACCCCAGGAAGGTGACATGTAGGTAGATTAGGCTGGGTTGGAGCCCCAGTGCTTCCAGGGCCCACGCTGGCACCAGGATCAGATTGACTCTAAGGGAGCTCACCCCGGAGCACTTTCTGTCACCTCCCTGCAGGAGGTGCCTTGGGCCCTCCCTTCTCCATAGGTGGGACATTCACACACCCACCTGCACGGGGCACTTGATTCCCTCTCCCAGCCCCAGCCTTGTAGAGGAGCAGAAATGGAGGCCATTTCTTGTCCCTTGGTAGAGGCAAGTGACAGGTCTTGAGTTTAGCTGCTCTGGAGGGGAGAACGGAGCAGCCAGTGTGGACCAGCCTGGAGTTGGTGGACCAGCTCAGCTCAGCAAATATTTGTTGAGCACGCTAATGTGCTGGGCTTTGTGCTCAGCCACAATGGCCTTGCTCTGGAGATTCGGTCTGGAAGGGGTTTGGGCATGTACGCTGGGAGAGAGCCAGTGACAGGCAGAGGAGGCAGGCCGGACCTGGCACACAGGCTGTACAACAGGTTCGATTAAGGAGAGGTCTAGGAAGGCTCCTTGGGCGAGGTGTCCTTAAGGTTTCCCTTTGAGGGATGTGTAGGAGATCGGCAGGGCGGAGGGCACGGCCTGGGGAGAGGTATCGAGGTGGAAAATGAGGCTGGAGGGTGGCGCTTGGGGACAATGGTAGGACATCAGGCTCGACCGGTGCGTCTCTAGCCGGGTGGAGAGAGATGAACCACAGAGACACTGAGCCTCTGGAGCCTCCACTGTGGCCTGCCCCACGCCCCACGCCCAGCGAGCGCCTCGGGAAGAGCGCCCCGCACGGCTTTGGGCTCACAGGGCCCTCTCCCGCCCTGCAGAGCGAGGAGGACGAGCGGGAGGAGTCGGACTTGGACAGCGCCAGCATCCACAGCTCCTCCGTGCGCTCCGAGTGCTCTGCGGCCCTGGGGAAGAAGAGCAAGAGGAGGCGCAAGAAGAAGAGGCGTAGGACTTCCTGGGAGCAGGGCCCCCGGCTGCCGCGGTGCACGCGGGGCTGCGCCGTCTCCCCGGGGAAGCGGGGGAGGCAGCCTCTGGCCTCGGCCTCTCCTGGCCTCGGCCGTAGTTCCCCTGTGCTCCTTCAATCATCCTGGTCCGTCAGGAGAGGGGGGTCCTGTTCCAGTGAATTCCACGGCTAAATTCCACACCTAAGATGCGAGCCGCCCCAGGGCATTCGCACTAGCGGGAGGGGGGCACTGGAGAAGGAAGTGCCGCTTAACCTCCTCCACCATCCGCCCACTCGGTCGTCCACTCCTCTACCCATCCGTCCCCTCGTCCCCATTCTACCAGCCTCCCTCTCTCCACTCCTTCTTCCCTCCCGCCCTTCCTTTTAGCCGTCTTCCTATTCATTGTCTACCCATCTTCCTCTTATCCATCTTCTAGCCATCTCTTCACCCCTTTACAGCTCAACCATTACATTTGTTCACACCGTCTGTCCACCATCCATCTGTCTAACATCTGCTCAGCACCTGCTGTGTGCCTGTGCGGCCTGGGGTGGGGAGCGGTTGGGAATTGGGAGTGGGGATGAGTCTTGCATGACCGCCTCTGCCCCCTCCCCAGTCGATGACGGTGACGGCTATGAGACGGACCACCAGGACTACTGCGAGGTGTGCCAGCAGGGCGGGGAGATCATCCTATGTGACACCTGCCCGCGGGCCTACCACCTCGTCTGCCTGGACCCAGAGCTGGAGAAGGCTCCCGAGGGCAAGTGGAGCTGTCCCCACTGTGTAAGCCCTTGGGGGAGCCTGGCCTGTGGGGCCTGTGCCTGGCCCCTGGGCCCTTGTGTGGGTTGTCTTGGGGCAGAAGGTCGGGAGGCGCCGAGTTGAAGGGAGGGAGTCCCACCCTGGTGGGGGCGTCCAGCCCAGCTGCCCCTACCTGTGCTCCCCCCGCCAGGAGAAGGAGGGGGTCCAGTGGGAGCCCAAGGAGGACGAGGAGGAGGAGGACGAGGCGGGCTGCGAGGAGGAGGAGGACGACCACATGGAGTTCTGCCGCGTGTGCAAGGACGGGGGCGAGCTGCTCTGCTGCGACGCTTGCCCCTCCTCCTACCACCTGCACTGCCTCAACCCGCCGCTGCCCGAGATCCCAAACGGTGAATGGCTCTGCCCGCGCTGTACTGTGAGTGTTACGCCCGTCCCGCCCGCGCCCAATGCCCCGCCCACCGCCACGCCCACCACAAAACCGCCACGCCCACCAGGCCCGCGCACACGGCCTGCCTTCTCCCCTCAAGGCCCTGCCCGGCAAGGCCACGCCCACTCAAAGTCTCCACGCCAGCCGGGCCACGCCCCCACCAGCACCACCCCGCCCACCAAAAAGGCCCCGCCTCCGCTGGCCCAGGCCACGCCCACGAAAGGTCCCGCTCTGCCAGCCGCTAGCCTGAGCCCGAACCCTCTCCCGCCACAGGTCCCCACACGCCTCGAGTCCTGCCCACCGCCTCACCCCGACTCGCTCTGCTTCTCAGTCCCTGTAAGACTTAGGTGCAGTTTTGTTACCCATAAATCTAGACCTGAAAACGGAGCCGCTGTGAAAACAGACAGGTGGTGGTGATAATCGTAGCCCCACCCACTGGTTATTGGGCAACCCTTTAACACTTACTGAGTTTCCAAGTACCAAGCCTTTTGTTATTCCCATTTTTAGATGAGAAACTGAGGCTCAGGGAGGTAAAGTAACTTACCTAAGGCCACACAATGGCACAGCTGTCCACTCAGACCCACTCTGGACCTGGTTTCTGTCCAATGGCTGGGGGCAGTGAGAGGATAGGAGTCCCCTGGGGCTGGAGCCTGTTTCTGCAGGGAGAGGAGAGAACCCCTCACTGACACCCCCAGTCACCAAATGTCCCTATGTTCTGAGTTGTACCCCCAGACTCACCCCAGTTCTGGATCTCCCACCCCTGTGGTCCTGGGCTGTGCTGTGGCCAGCCCTCGGTTACCTGTGTGCATCTGGGCTTATGGGGTGTGTGCGTGTGCGTGTGCATGCGCGCATGCATGCACACGTGTGCATGCAGACCCACACTGCCCGTCTCCTGTGTGCAAAGCACACGTGGGCTTCTGAGGACAAGGCGGTGTCGTGGAGTCACATGGTGCTTTCTGACTTGGGAAGCAGTATAGCTCCCTGCCTGCCACAGGAGCCTCAGGGTGGGGACCTTTGGCTAAGCCCTGAACTTGGGGACCCTCCTCTGTCCACAGTGTCCCCCACTGAAGGGCAAAGTCCAGCGGATCCTACACTGGAGGTGGACGGAGCCCCCTGCCCCCTTCATGGTGGGGCTGTCGGGGCCCGACATGGAGCCCAGCGTCCCCCCACCCAAGCCCCTGGAGGGCATCCCAGAGAGAGAGTTCTTCGTGAAGTGGGCTGGGCTCTCCTACTGGCACTGCTCCTGGGTGAAGGAGCTGCAGGTGAGACACCTGGATGGGCGTGGCTGCACTAAGGCTCAGCTCCCCGAATGCGGGACATTGTCGGGAGTTGGGGAGGGGGAGACTGAAGGTGAGGATTGTCCGGCCTGGGACCCTGGCTGGGGGATGAGGGAGCTGGGTCGGGGGATGAGGGGGCCACAGCACGTCTCCCTCTTGTACCCTCTGGGAACAGCTGGAGCTGTACCACACAGTGATGTATCGGAACTACCAAAGAAAGAACGACATGGACGAGCCACCGCCCTTTGATTACGGCTCTGGTGACGAAGACAGTAAGAGCGAGAAGAGGAAGAGCAAGGACCCTCTCTACGCCAAGATGGAGGAGCGCTTCTATCGCTATGGCATCAAGCCCGAGTGGATGACGATCCACCGCATCCTGAACCACAGGTGTGTGCCCGATGGGGCGTGGCTCTGGGCCTCGCTGGAGCTGGGTGCCTGCAGGCTGGGATGCACCTGTCCGCTCTGTAGAGTGGGCACGGGGCCATGTGTCGGTGCAGTGGGGGCAGGAGGAAGAGGCCATTTGACTATGCCTGCAGGCTGGGATGCACCTGTAGAATGGGCACGGGGCCATGTGTGGGTGCAGTGGGGGCAGGAGGAAGAGGCCATTTGACTGTTCGCCTGGAGGGGTTGTCATGCACATTGACACGCGTGTCATACTTGGAGAACAGTTCCAAAGTCATAAATAAAAAGGGGCAACTTAACGAACAGCCTGTGAAACTTGCCCCAAGTGGTTTGACATCCTTGTGTTCCTGGGTTCCTGCTCAACTTAGTGCTTGATACCTGTTGGAGGGTCCCAGAGACCAAGGTGAACCTGACACATGGAGGGCGCATATCCTCATTTGCTCCGCATTTATAAACGACGGCTGACAACACGGAGCGCTATCTATCCCAAGCGGTAGCGCTTTATTTCTGCCTTTCTTTTATGGATTTGAGAGCAGGCACAGCAAGCTGAAATCACTTGTCCAGAGTCACACAGCCAGGAGGTGGCGGGCAGTCTCTTCTGATGGCGGGACTTGCTTCCTTGGCTACTGTTCCCAGCCCCCGCACCCCTGTAACAACTCTTTGTTGAGAAATCTGGAAGTTCCCAGGTGGTAGTGATCAGAGGCTGCAGAAGGCTGGAGGAAGAGGCCGAGGCAGGAGGCCTGTGGATCCTGTGAGCCTGGCTTTGGTTTAGTGGGTGATGGGAGTTCAGGTGCTTGAGAGCGGGCGGTGGCCGACAGGTGGGTGCAGGGCGGGGCCCTCAGTGCCTGCTGCACGGTTGCAGGCTCAGAGCTTTGAACTTGCCACCTGGTCTTGACACATGGGTTCTACCTCGGAGGAACTTAGGTAGGATCTGGCAGACCACAGGCTTCTTGAGAGGCAGCAGCCGGGTAGCGCAGAGGTTAAGAACCTGAGCCATCTGCTCAGATTCCGGTTCTGGCTCCCGTTTTCTGGGCTCTGTGCCTCTGTGTTTGTCATATAAAATGGGATAATGAGAGAGCCCTGTGGCGCTGTCGTGGGCATGAGGGAGTACGCCAGTGCCAGCTACTGTGGCCTTGGCCTTTCCTCGGAGGGGGTGGGAGCATGTGAACAGCCCTCACTGAGAACGACCCTTAGAAAGGGGGTCAGTTCCCATGGGAACCGAAGCCCCCATTGGACTGACCCACAGTTTTTTACCTTTGTTAAACTGCACGTCGAAACGTAAGTGGCAGTCACCCTCTGTCTCCAAAGCAGGGCAGGTGCATTTCCCCCAAACTTTTTACCCAAATGAGGTCTGATTAACAATCAATTATTTATTGAGAAAAATCCATCAGTTTCCATGGTGACTGGAGATTTATCTTTCTCTTAATGGCCTCCAGGCTAGTCACCACCACTTAGGTTAGCCGCAGTGTCTGGCCCGCTGGCGCTTCCTGGCTTGGGGTCCCGATCAACTCAGGTTGGGCGAGTGGCCCTGAGGCCCCTCCCAGGGGCTGGAATCAAGCTGAAGGCCATGGTGCTTCTCTAGAGTCCCCTTCTATGTTGCTGGCTTGGTCATCAGGTCCCTGTGTCCCCAGGGATCTCTAAAAGAGGGCATGTCCTTGTCTTTTTTGTGGAGACAGGCCCTGGACTGTGACGTTTGACTTTGAAGTTAGAGGATGAAGGCCCCTGGTCAGGAGAGAGAACTGCCCAACTCAGAAATTCAGGATTTCTTTGTCCAGACACCGTGAGGGAATGTGATTCGGGGTGCAGCCGAGGATGCAAAGGACGCTGGCTCTTTGCCTCTCTGCTAGCACGGCCTCTCTGCCACCCTCGCCCTCCTTCGCACTGGCTGTGTGGCCTGGGGCAAGCTGCCTCTCCTCTCTGGAGCACCTGCCCTCCCGCTGCCCTCCCGCCTGGGGCCAGGGTCCCAGGCAACGGTGGGAGCAGGAGGCTCGCATCCTGCAAGGTGCATTTCCTGGACTCTTAACTACAGCTGCTGCCCAAGTGACCCTCCCTCCTCCGCCATCTGTCTGCTGTGTTGCAGCTTCGACAAAAAGGGGGACGTGCACTACCTGATCAAGTGGAAAGACCTGCCCTACGACCAGTGCACCTGGGAGATTGACGACATTGACATCCCCTACTATGACAACCTGAAGCAAGCCTACTGGGGCCACAGGTGGGCCGCTGGCCTGGGCCCCGCCCCAGGGCTCTGGTCTTCTACGGCCCGAGCTTTGCTCACCCGCATCTCATGCTCTTTCCAGGGAGCTGATGCTGGGAGAAGATGCCCGGCTGCCCAAGAGGCTGATCAAGAAGAGCAAGAAGCTCAAGGATGATAAACAGGAGAAGCCGCCGGACACGCCTGTCGTGGATGTGAGCAGGGGAGGGGGCAGCGGGGTAAGGTCAGCAAGGCCCGCCACCCTAGGCTGGGCAGTGGAGCAGGTTGTGTTCTCCAGGGGACTCTACCTTGGGCCGTCATGGCCTGTACGCACAGAGCCATGCCCGGGGCCCTGCAGTTCAGACCACTAATGCCTGGGACCCCACGGGACAGGATGACAAGACCCAGCCCCTCCCTGCAGGGGAGACCTCACAGGGAGGTCCCTCAGCCTCATTCCCCAGCCCTCGGGGGCTCAAGGCCTTGGTTTCCTGTCTCAGTTGAAATGTGGATTACCCAGGCACAAACCCGGGGGGCAAGTAGTCTTTATCAGCTTGTGAATTTACATTACTTTAGATGAGCTAATTTCCAGTGTTTAAATCAAAAAGTGTCTCTAACTTCAGGGGTGCCACAGCTGATATCCAAATTACACGCCATTCTTATCTTTTCTCTGGGAGGGGACCCCCAGTTTGCCCCTGGGAGTTTTGCACTGTCAGGGAGTAGAAGATTGACTTATTTAGCAAACCCCTCTGGGGTGTCTGCCAGCACCTGGCCCTGGGCTGGCTCTGGGGACACAAGGGCCCTGGATTTGAGAAGTGCCCATCTCCCAGAGACCCGTGGCGGATACACACAGAACGTTTGTCCTGGGACTATGGGGTGCCAGGGAAGGCGAATGGGTCTAGTACGTCAAGGGAACTTCATAGGGGAGGTGGCCTTGAGCCACAGGATAAAAGAGGCACAGTGAGTGATGTTCTGGATCAAGCACACGAAGTACCGTAGGCATGCGTCAATGGTGTTCTCATGTCCTGGGCGTGGAGCAGGACCAGTGTAGAGACCTGGGCTTAAAGTCAGAGAGTCTAACACTTGTGAAACTGTCCAGATAGGAGAAGTACAGGGCAGAAGTACAGGTAGCCACAGTGGGAACACCTAAGC